CCTCTCACTCACAAATCAACTCTTGTCCCAGAACGTCCGATCTTGATGCATTTTTCAGGAAAAAATGTGCCGGATCCTAGACAGTTCACAATAAAAATTTGAGCCCAAAATATTGAGTTGTCCGGGAGTTATCATAACGTTAAAGATCAAAAAACAGGTTTCCGTGCGACCCAGATTTCTCCTACAATTCTAATGATACAGATTTTGGATTGGTGTTAAAATGTAGCCAAGACTTGTCGCTACAACTTCCTTTGTTGTATCAGTCTAGCAAAATCGAATAAATCTTTTATAAATGTTCGTGGTGTTGATCATGCCTGATCGATTAAATCACTTAAATATTTGGCCAGTTGATAGTTGTATGTGTTTGTTGTTGAAATTATTGGCCTCAGTGGTAAACGTTTCTTGTGCATTTTTGGTTGACAAAACATAACCACACACCTAGCTCCGGATACATATAATCGATCATACGTATCTTGATCAGTTTTCTTAGATTTCTTCAATTCACCAGTTCTATAATTCAACTTTCCTTCCATCTTACTCACTATATATGATACTGTTATTTTATTTCCCTTAGCATCTTGATCTACCATCTTAGTGAATGCCTTACCTTGTGCTAATAACTCTTTCGCTTTTTGTTTGTGTTGTTCTTTATCCATAACCACACATGCAATCCCTTTATCGACTTTCATCACTACAATGCTTTTATCCTTCGACAAACTTCGAAGAGGTTGAATTTCATCAGGGCTGACATTGATCAGTTTCTTTTGCTTGTTCAATTTTAAAAAACTGGTACGCCACTTTCCTTATTCCGTTCGCTAACCTTTTATCCAATATCTTTTCTTATTTAGTTCAATTTGAAATTGTCTGTTGTCCGTTGCGAAAAATTTGAGTGTATGTTTTTGCTTTTTTTCATGTTTTAATTATTTTTTATTATTTTTCTTCTGTGTGAGGGATGCTGATGAACGGGACGTTCATCTGTTCGGTTAGGGGAGGTGTTAGGAAGTGAATACATTCACTCCATTAGTTAAAGGTCATTCAATTGCTTCACATGTATTTCGTTTATCTCTTTTCGTTCTTATTTTTGCATTATACAAGATTTTAGTAGTTCTTCTTCTTCTTCTTCTCTACTGGAACAATTTCAAATTCAACCACTTTCAAACAGACGTCTCTGTTATCGCCTTAACTATTTCTATAAAATTTCAATCATAAAAGCCCTCTCACCTCTATTGATCTGATTTCACAGTCTGCCAAACTTGTTTAGTCACATTAAAAAATATGTGGAGAGGTTACACAGGCTTTTGATAATGTTATAAACATAAAATATTCTTTGTTTGTCCTTCTTCTATATTTCAAAATAAAGATCATGCATGATAAATTATGTTTTTTATGCTTTAGACTTATACTTTTGAACTGACTGTTCTTTTGGATCGTGACTTATGTATGAGAGGTTAGCATTTTCTTACGAGCCATTGCACGTAAGCCACGATCTATTACAGCGGAACAGCCTTCAATCTATGTTCTCAAAACTTTGCCAAAGTAGGGGGCACTTGTAGACCAAACATTTTAATGAATTTTGGTAAAAGGTGCAAATCAAAAAATTGTATCGTTGCTGAGATATTGATATTTTAGGAAAAGTCTCGAAAAACGTAGATTCCGCCATCTTGAAAATTTGCCAACTTTAAACTCTTGTAATTCAGTAACAACAGATTACTTCACCTTGCAGATTTCCCCATAAATAGTAGACAGTGTGAGCTACGAAACCACGCAACTGCGAGCTCAAAGCATGTTTTCGTGATTTTGTAATAGATGAAGCACTAAGAGTCCAATTCCAGAAAACCGTGAATTTTCTTGTAGCACCCATTTAAAACAAAGTCGACCGTAAGACTTTCAACCATATTCCCAAATAGATTATATGTCACATTATATTTGGTAAAAGTTTGATGGTCTCCGGTGCTTTCGTTTTCAATACAGACGCCTTGAAAGTTGCAATTTTGTCCAAAAATGATCATTTTGGGCGATTTTGAGAAATGACTTTTTCCATGGAAACAGGGCAATTCTGAAGCCCCCTAGTATACTGCTGAAGTACACCAGATGTACTACCACAGTCCATCCTGCGATTTGTGGGTTTCGCTAAAATAGCTTCGGGGACTCGGTCGGGGGCACCGAATTCTAGAGGTTTGCTTCAGTCAGCATTTTTCTGCTACAGTATATTAAAATTTCAATAAAAACCAGTTTGATATGCAACGTTTCACAATGGTAATACAACTACAAGCTTATTCAAGTATTAGCGCGGTCCTACGTGCGAGTTGGGTGAGGGTGAGCGGGGTGAGGGTATTTGGCAATTAATAATAAATCAAAGAAGAAGAGAATTAAAGCGCAAAGATAAGAAAAGGCAAGGAAAAACTTACCAAATTTCTTTTGAAAAGTTGGTTTTTTGATTTTTTAATGTTTTTGTGTACTAAGAGAAGTACGAAAGGTGAAATAAAGCGCGAAAAATAAGAAGAGAACGATCTCTCGTACTTCTCTTAGTACACAAAAGAATTAAAAAATCAAAAAACCAACTTTTCAAAAGAATTTTGGTAAGTTTTAGAGGAAGGAAGAATATTGTTAGTTATGACATGTCAGCCATTATCGGTCTGATAGATTCATCACATAGTAAATGAATGTCTTACGTGAATAAGATCGTTGGATCGAATTATGCATCAGTATCTAATCATCAATTAGCACACATAATAATGAAACCCTACTTATGGTGGCTAAAATATGTTGGAACACAATCAAAAGTTAAAACTATTTCTAAAAATGTCAATTGGTATATTGAACTCTTGAGTCAATTTATAATTAAGATGAATCCGAATGTATTGTATGATGGTGTGTACGAAGTAACAGGCTTTAGCTAATCCCTTCAACAAATGGATACGGGTGATAACAGTTCAGTCTATATTCGAGAGCTTTCGTTTTTGGTTTTTATTCCACTCGTTTTTGACACTAGAATAATGGAAAAGGTGAACTTTCCCGTGCACTTTTTTTTTGACATGTTTTTCGTAAAGGAAAATGCTTCAAAAAGTTCGTTACTTAAATAAACGTTGTATAAATTCTTGACTCACCAAACCCATTGAACAGCTGAAACGTATTAAATAGTCGCGTTGTTTCTTTAAATCGCAAGAATGGATAGAAATAACACTAAATTTAAAATAACTAATTAACAATAATAAGCATTTCTCACCATGATGGAAGCATTTATTAGACTTGAGTCTGGAACATGAAATGCTGGAAATTTAATTTCTTAAAATTTTTCTACTGATGTTGGGTCTCTAAAAGTTGGTCTTCAGACTAAAAAATGATGTTTTGTGCTTTTTATCTTGAAGATCTAGTTGCACAAAGCTGCGCCTGGCAGATAAAATTTAGAAAACTAAATTTGCTACACATTCTGTTCCAAACTCAAACTTGAGAAGTACTTTGTTTGTGGTGGGAAACTGAAAATTAGCTTTAAAAAAGTGGTTTTCCCGAATTTTCACTATTAACGAGATGTTGTCCCAACTTGAGCCTAGAAGATGAAATTTAGCAAATTAAATTTCTTCAATTCTATCTGTTAGGCTCAGCTTTGTACAACTTGAGCTTCACGGTGCAAAATGATAACTACTGTTTCTCCTTATTATATCATCGAAAGGAAAATCTTAATCGACTTTAATTATTAATTATTTGATTGGCCTGAAACACTGATTAGAACAAATATTGCTACGAGACTCAGCATAATCGACTATCTATAGTTCATCCGTTTTTGAGGCCACGAATAGTCATCGGGTGCCAGTCCCGGAACTCGTCGGAATCCCCATACGTGGCTGGAAAGGCCGAAAATGACCATCTCGCTTCGCTCCCATTTCGAAGAGAATACCCTGGGCAATGAGTCCGTGAAAAAGAATCAACACAATCCGATTAGAAAATTGTTACTCACGGCATAGTTTTTCAAACATCTGCTAGCAAATCTATTTCAGACAGCTCTTCTGAAAAAGTTCGCGGATGGCCCAAACATGTCCGCGCATTTTTTCAACCTGAGAAAATCGGAACTCTCTAGCTGCTCTCTGATAAAATTTACTTAAATAATGACCGAGTCCATCCTTGTTTTCAACCGAGATTGTTTCAATTCATAGTGTATAACAAAAATTTCAGAGGACTTAATAATTTGACCGGCGATAGGGTTAATTAAAAAAAACATCATTTTTCCGAAAAACCGAGTTTTGAATTTTATCATTTTATTTTAATTTTATTATATGACCATGAAGTACTAAATGTATTTTAAAACTCTAGAAGTAATAGTTAACAGTAATAGTAAACTATTATCGTTATGAAAGAAATTAGGAAATGCTTTCTATAATAAAAGTGTTGAAAATTAAACTGCATGCAGTACAAGTAACGTTCATCTATCGATTTACTAGCTCATTGATGAGAGGTGTAGCAAATGATTAACTTCATTGATGAGATGCATCGAAAATAAGCCGGCTATCCTTTCATGCTACACTTTCATGCTTTCATTATTGTAGGTTCTGTTATTTTCTTATTCGAGTTCGATTCAAGTGTTAAGACGTTGAATAATGAAACGACAGTTATGCGCAAGAACGAAACGCAAGCACGAAAAGTACAGTACACTGTAAATGAATAAACGATTGTAAGAAAAAATCAACCAACTGCCGAACAATATTCTGTCTGAGTAACATCTAGAAAAGTATGGTGTACTGTACGCACGTAGTGTCAATGTTTACATGTTGGTTAGCGTTGCCGGGGTTTCAGTACTTTTCACGACCGGTATAAATAGCAGACTGAAACAAGAAGAAACAGCTTCGTCAACGAGAGAAAAGCGCTTTACACTTTCAGTCAACAATACTGCGTCCTCATTCAACATGCTTTCATTATTGTTGGTTCTATTATTTTCTTATTTCTCTAATAGTCAGTATATCTTTGATTCATCGTGTACATGCAGTACTGTAACAAGTGGAGTTCGCATGTCGTGGACCTGCACGAGTACTCAGCGAGGGCTGACCTGTTTTCCAGGCACGACTAATGTTATCGGTTTGGGTGGTACAGTGAAACAACTCAGCCAAGTATCTGTCGGTGATTATGTTCAGGTGGTTGACCATGGTCAATTGACGTATGAGAAGATACTCGGTTTTCTTCATTCTGAACCAAATGATTTGTACGATTATTTGTCGATCGATGTCGATATGTTGAATAATGAAACGACAGTTCTAGAAATATCATTCAATCATTTGGTATTTTTGTACAATAAAGCAGACCCCGTGTTCGCTGGAAAGCTGAAAATTGGTCAACAATTAGAAGCTGTCTATGATGGACATATTGGTCCCGGCATAATTACTAAAATCAAACTGACAAGAGATCAAGGTTATTTTGCGCCATTAACCAGTTCTGGTACCATTGTTCTGAAACAGTCAAAAATGTCACAACTATTTCTAACGACATTTTTAGATCCGTTTTAAGTTAAAACGGAGAATTCCTTATAATTATTATGACTCTTCAAAATAAAGAATTAGATAACAACGAAAGAAAATATCTGTTCTCGAACAAGATACAAAACGGTTCTCGGGAAGTGGAGTAATGTTCATAAAAATGTGTGTTTAATATTTAACCCTTTCGGTCCCACACATCGTCAGCTCACAGAAATTGAACGAGGTTTTGCACCCAATTAGAGGACCAAATGTTGTTATTAAATCCACGAAAGCCGCTGAAAAATTCGAAGAGGCTAGTTAGTTCGAAGCGAATACGTTTATTTACAACATTATGTACACTATTTACAAAAGACTGATCACAACCTTGAAGAGGTCTTCTCATTCAGACTATGTTTTTATGATATTCATAGAAGCAATTTCTTTTCGAGTTCATACAGAAAGCTCTGTTACAGTGAGAACAATGGTAAACACTTCGATAGTGATTGTTTTTCGTACTGCAGAAAGCACATCGTCTAGCATTGCCAATAATGGGAAGATGTGGTTCAGTTTGATTCGGCAGTCCGAAGGAGATTTTTCTTCCTGATGATTTGTTCTTCTTTCGATTTGAATTGATGGAAGATGAGACACGGTTTTTCATCATTTCGCCTTCGATCAATGCAGTGGCGACCGATGAGAGAAAATCGAGAAAGACTAAATCAGCACCAGTCCGATCTTTATAAATGATAAACGCATTGGAAAGAGCGATGTTCATGAAGTTGAAGAAGATTCGTAGCCAGAATCTAGGTGATTTCCGATCCAATGCATAGCATTCTTTTCGTTGGTCGGCTCGATCAACACCTCCCATGTTTCGATTATAATCGATGATGGCGGTTGGACAAACGACGTCTCGTTTAGCTCCATTCTTTTCTTTTCGCTGGATAAAACCATGAGACTTGGGATCGTGAAAATTAGATAGAAGGAAAACTAAATTTCTGTCCATCCATTTGTATAGAACAAGGTGTTTTGAGGTGATGTATTCATACTCTCCTCGTTCCAGTTTCGTTTTCGGGTCACAAAAAACCTTTGGCATGTCTTTTCTGTTCACCCGAACAGTTCTTGCAGCATAGATTCCTCTCTTATAGAGGTATTCGAGAAAGGAAGGAGTTGTGAAATAGTTATCGAAATAGACTTTTCTGTAGCTGAACTCCAAGTCTGTAACAAGAGTTTTCACAACATGTACACCGACAGATGAAGCTCTATTGATCTCTTTTCCTTTGTACAAACGAAAATCTTAAACATATCCGCTCTTTGAATCAGCCAACATCCAAACTTTGAAACCACGTTTCACTGGCTTCATCGGTAGATATTGTTTTAGTGATGAACGACCTTTGAACTTGATCATAGACTCGTCAATACTGATGTTTTCGCCTAGAGTGTAGTTTTCTTTGAAATTTTTCTGAAGAATTCTGAGGAATTCATCACCCTTGTAGGTCTTAGAATATTCGTTCAATTTTCTCGAAGGCAGCTTTCGATTATTTGCTAGGTGAATACTGTTCAAGATTTTTGCGAATGCGTTTCTTGACATCGTTTCAGCGACAATCGATAATCTGAAATTGCTGTTTGACGACCAATATCTCTTATACGATGGTAGCTTATGAAAGCCCATCAGTATATTCAGTCCAATCCATGACTTGATCTCAGACATGCTTGTCGGAATCCATTTCGTTTTATGTTTCTGTTTTCCACAGATATTCGTCTGTATGCATATGAGTTTGAAAACTTGGTCAGTGAATAGCAGTTGAAAAGCATCAGTAGGACGGAATGCATAGTTGTTCTGATATGAAACGATTGTGCTGTCATCGAATGATTTCACACGTCTACGAATGTTCTGATTCCAATTTATCTCGCTCATATCAGTGTCATCATCAAAGCCGTGATTACCCTCAACAGAATTATCTGAACATTGAGACAGTTCAAAAGAATTCTCATCTGTTGATTGATGATCATACATATCACCAGAATCCGACGAATCATTCGATTCACTCGAGTTGTTCTGTTCATTCAAATTATTCAACTCGTCCACATCACTTGAATCACCTGGTTTATCTGAATCATTCGACTCATTCGAATCCTCCACTTCACTTGAATCATGCGATTCATTTGCATTGTTCGACTCCGTTGTGCCCTCTAGTTCACTTGAATCACTCGAAACATTCAAATTGTTTGCGTTAGTTGTCATATTTTCTTGTTTTCCTCCAGTGAATCTAGTGAAATCTGACCGGTACTCTCGAAAGATGTCCCGTTTTCTTATTTCGGACAGTGGTACGATAACGAGATAGACAAGTACTTACGTAGCAAAAGGTGAAAAATTTCCGATATCGAAGACGTGACGATTCTGTTCCTTATCTACTGTCAAAGCGTCATCTTCGTGACCGTTGATGTGAAAAACTTGATTGAATGGTGGGAGACACCAATAAATGACCACAGACGTCACTAGTCACCAATTCAATTATTCTCTTTGATCAACGTCAGATCACACATAGACAAGTTGTTCATTTACCAAACGACCTCTTAAATAGCAACAACTTCAGCTCCAACACATGATCCTACAATAGAATTTAGATCATCAAGAACATCACGAACAAAATTATCTAAAACTATTACAGAAGGTGGTACCAACAAAACATGTGAAACATTTTTTGAAGATGGAGAATCAAAAGAAATAAGATTATTAATGAAAAATGAAGGATTAAGAACAGGAGCAGTGCAAACAGAGGTAGATGAAAGACCGAGAAGACATGTAGCAACAGAAGTACTATCATCTAATTGTGGATCATCTGGATACAACGCATAAGGCTCGTTTTCGATAATAGCTGGTGAATTTGTCCCAAGCAAAATTGAGTAAGAGAGAAAATATAGCTGCAAATATAGCTGCAGCGCCCACTTACAGCTATTAACTAGTTTAAAAGGTACATTTATCTAGCTACATGCTGATTGAAATCGAGTACTAGCTGAAACGGCCGCTCCATTGGTCAATTAACGGCGCAATGAATTGCCCGATTAATCGATAGCAACTAGTTGTACCCAGTGGAAGCTAGATTCAATCTAGCTGAAGCTATATCAAATTTTCATGTATTTCACTGCATCTAGCTGAAGCTAGATAAATGTACCTTTTAATCTAGATGCAGCGCCCGCTTCATAATTTTTTTTCGTGCTTGGGATGTTGCTATCTCCAAGATTCATCTGATCAAGACTATGTTCAATAGGCGTTGGCTGTTGTTCTTCATCTTGTATGCCATTGTCTTTAACGATTCTCCAAAACTCTTGATCAGATCCAGGTCTTTGTCCAAACATTACTTCATACGGTGTACACTTTGTAGTTGATGACATCCGAGTATTAATTCCATATACAACAGGCAAAAGTCCTTCAGACCAATGACTCGAATTCCCATCAGACATTCATTTTCCTAACGCACTTGTCAATACACCATTTGGTACGTGAATAATCTCTATACACTGCCCTATGCCTTCGACTAATATTATTTTCATGAGCCAGACTTCAGGTCGAAATAGACTTGCCGTCATGATGATGACTATCTGTCGTATGATCATGTGCACACTCCACAGCGGGCATCCAGGCGGAAATTAGGCAGAAAAGCAAAGTTATTCGTTTTTCAAAAATAGATAGTGTAAAATGTAGCCCTGAAAATTCTCTATCGAATGGTGTATAAATGTCTATTTTGAGATGGAGTCGTTCCAGAGAAAATTGAACTACACGAAATGTGTATGGAGTACCAGCCAATGAACTACCTTTGCATGTAACCGTGATTCTTTGTTCTCTCTCAGTGATATTTAACGATTGGAAAGCACATATTCGGAATCAGGCGATCCTAACCTATCTACTCATACCAAAATGTGTCTACTTCAATTAGAAATCGAGGAGTAGCAGCGCATCAAATCTTCCTAACGTCAGTCCCACAAAGGTCTACCTCAGTATAGTCGTTTGCCCCCCGCTGCCCCCACTTAAAAGTAACATCTAAATACACACAAATGGTCTCCAGCACCTACTCTATCTACAGTACATTCGACTTTTCTCGATGTTTTTTTAAAACCGAATTACGAGTTTTTCAAAATCCCTAAGATTTTCTGCGTATTTCGAAGATTTCCCATCCGTCAACACACTTTTCATCAAACATAATGCCATATTCGGAATCAGCGTGAAAAACTGCATCGAATGGTGTATAACTCATCTAGTATCGGTAGCTCGATTTTGAATTCTAGAAATTTCTTAGTTATTGAGATTCACACAAACAATTTCGTGCTGAAAATTTGAATTTCACGATAAAGTAACCTGAACGACTCGAAACATGTTTCTTATAGGTTTTCGACAGTGCTCTTTCCAGTGGCATCGTTTTTATATATTGAGAAAGTTTTCTGAAGGGTTTTTCAAAGATCGGATCTCTGAACAACTCCTTAGAAAACTTTTTCAAAATCCAACTCTCATGCCATTAGAAAGAGGATCGTAAAAAACCTATAAAAAAATGGTTCATGAAATTTTAGTTCACTCATAAAGCTAAAGTCCGCCTGCTCTAGCAAAAAATGCCCACTGTGCACTCTAGGATACGAGCTTATCCCATCCAGTAGCCGGGTATTGGCGCACTTTCGCTTCTCCAACCTAAACTGCCTTCAACTCGGTCTTCCTGTCGATGATAGTTTCTTGTCTATCGTTCCAAGATTCGATCAGCTGATCGCACTCAAAGTGGCACCGTATTATCCTGATCATGATTTTGATCCCCTATCTCAACTTCAGGCCTTGCTCGATCGAACTCCTCGGCTCTATTTCGTGAACTTCACTTCTTGGCAACTATCGTCTACGCAAATGCCTGCGTTTGAATATTCAAATACTTCGGTTCGTACACTAGGTTTACAAGACGTTGATCGATACTACAATAGCGAACAATGTGTTACGTTGAGTCGTTCACCATTACGTATTCAGTGTGAAGTACTTTCAATTGCAGTCGAGAATCGAACAAATGTAATTGATCTTATCAGCACGATGACTAATCTTCGAGCGTTGAATGTGTTGTGCCGAGATGATACGTGGAAGGAGGACAATAATCAACCGTCGTCAAGGGAGGACGAACTTGTCGAGTGGTTGCAACATCGCGTGCCATCCACATGCACGATCACCAGAAGCGATGACAGTATTTATAGCAGTCGATTTGCTCACTTCAAGTCTGTTCGATTATGGATTCGTTAAGTCGTGAAAAAAATATGAAGAGACATTCCCCGTGAAAAATTTTGCAATTAAAATCCGATTATTATTCGGAAATGCCATGGGCATAATCAGATTTCGAATCGGATTAAAGGGAAGCAAAATTCGTATTTCAATGGATTGAAATCGGATGTCTGACCCGATTATCATCCTATCATAGAGGAGACGAATCTGAAAAAGAGAAAGCGAAAGTTAGAACGAAAGCGGAGATTGGACACACCCGGTCATTCAATCGCCTGACCGTCCGATAGGGATTGATAAAAAAGAAGCAAGAAAAGAGCAGATTGAACTCAGCCGTTGGAAGGAGTAGAAAAGAGAGGTTCAAAGTTCAAGAATGACAATTAAACGTTTGACTTAGCCTTTGAAGCTGAGATCGGACAACTCATCTTGAGGGTGTGGGTCACCCACACCCTCACCCACACCCTCACATATGCCGATGTTTGTTGTTCTCATGGTGCGTAAAAACAGACTTATTTGCTTAACATCTGGCATTCGACGTCGGGATCTTGTGAGAATCTCGGTTTTTCGAGCGGCATTTTGGCGAATTAGTGAGAAATCGCCTCTCGAACTTCCGTGACATGATGGTACCAGGCGAACACAATTGTAAGATGCTCAATCGCATCCCAGTACACTATAAACAGTGCGATAAATTCCTAAATGCGAACAGATTACCAGCTACCGAACATGTTCGATCAAGGAATAGTTCGCTACCAAAGATTTAAAAAACTAGTTTGTCAAAGCTAAGAGCGTGAGAGCAAAAAATACATGAAAGAAATCTCTGTAAAACAGAAAAAATGGTGAAGATTACACCCCATACTAAGGAGCAGCCATGATTACGCCGTAGCCATGGGTAGTCATGTAAAGAAAAGTTTGATGAGTTAGAGCAGCAAGTTTAAGTTTGTTTTAGCCCAGGAAGTTCAAAGTACCTTTAGGTTTCACTATATCTTATTTACTCTCTAACTTAAGCATACTTTTAGTAATAATGTGGCCTCTCGTCGAAGATTGATTTACTTTGTTTTCATGCAAAAATGCTTTTCCTCACTGTGCAAATAAAGTAGACAGAAAGGTGCTGCCAGAATTCGAACGTATTTTTATAAGGTTTATGGTATTTCGTCCTAACAGTTCCTCAGCAGAGCACTCGCCTATATCTCGGATGAGAAAAAAATAAACTATCGTATTTGTAATCTTCGTCCGAACACGTTCGATCGCATCAAGTTTCCAGGCCGAGCATGCTTGGTTACGAACTGTTTGGAGACCAAACTATCGGATTACTGCATGCCTAATGCAGTGCAATGGTTATCGTCCACTGAAATTATATCGCAATGTGTGCGATGATCAAGAGACAGGAAAACTTTTACTAACTAATCGTTGCATATGGTTGGTGATCAAAGCCAACTTCATTGATAGCTCGTGTTTGTTTCCCATCAATATTGGATATGTATTTGACGTACCATGTCTTTTCACCTGTTGTGCCCAATAACAAGAATGTCTTTCAGCATTTTATCGAACGACTCTGCGACGAGTGGTGGAAACTGTCAAGAAGCGATGTAGTTTCTGCGGCAAAAGAACGGGACCAATGGAAGAGACTACTGAACCAGCTTAAACCCCAAGCCGAAAGGATGAGGGGGAAGAAAATGAATGAATGAATCTTTCAGCATGATAAAAAAATATCATAGTTGGATATGGTCATACATTCGACTCTGCCTGCTCGACTGAAAAAAGAAATTTCGGTGACTTTTATTGCAAAACGGTGAATGAACAACAGAATGCTCGCTTCCTCGATAGAAAAATTGGGTCTAGAGGCACAGAGTATTATTATAGAGGCACAAGCGCATTATTCCATTGACTCTAAGTCTATGGTCATACGAAATAAATTGTTTGTGTGTGTGTGTTTGTCCGTACACAGATATGACGGATGATTGTGACGGACGTACATACACAAAGATACCAGAGTAAGGAACGTACATACAGATATTCCATAACATATTGCAGATAGTCCTCTGGCGAACGCAGACCGAAGGGAAGGATGAGCTTGATCTTTGATTCAAAGTCATCGAAGGCTGTTCGATTTTACTATGACGGGCGTACATACACATAGATATTAGTATATGACCGAGCGAGTGCGAACATGAACGAAATTTTGACTATTGGTGAAAAACTAAATTTTTTAGGTCATATCATACTTGAACAGTATCGAAACACTATTTTTCAGATTCAGCTTTTTACGGAGAACAAGAATAAAAAACTTCCAAGATTCCCAAACACAATGTGTTCGAGCTTTACGTTCGTTTTTAAAAAATAAAGCGTTTTTGAAAGGCTTTAAATTTTCAACATTGACATTTTGATTCGAAAGATGAAAACACACATAGTCTTGTTCAGCTTGACGATCTATATCCAGCCATGTATAAATATCGCAAAAATAAATTTTGCTTAAGTTTTGAATTTCCGGCTTTTCAAAGTAGTTTCTAGGCTTTCTGTATGAAATGAAACGGAATATAACATCTATTGAAACACAAGCTTTGATTTTTTCAAGTCTTATCGCTACAATGACATCAAGTAGTTTTTTTAAGCAAAAACGATGAAGTTTTTACAAAAATATAATGCTGCAAAAATAATGCTTGAACGATATTTCAAGAAAAACATTTATCGGTGGATCAATAACTAATTTGACGACGATGAAAGCCATTTATTCAAGTAAACATTAGTTATAAGCTTTATTCTGTCAGAATACAATCGGAAAATATTCCATTATAGTATTCTAAACTAAAACTATCGAAAAACACAAAATCAATTTTGTAAACATTAGTTAGAAATGATAAAAAAAAGATACTTCGTCAGGCCCTTTGATCATGATCCCAATTTGATACACAGTCGAGAAATTCTAAACATATTTTCATTATCCGCTGATAACACGACGTCATGGCGGTTTGGTCCGTCCGCAAACGAAGCAAAACTAATTATTTAAGTACAAGTAACTCTCATTTGCGATTCCCAGGTCCTTGATCGCAAGTCTTTCCAGTATACTAGATAGACAGACTATTGATTTTGACGTAGATGTTAGAACAAGTGAAGATAGCAGAAAGTAAGCAAAAACTTATTGATCACATTTGAGAACTTTCACCGACATACTAAATAAAGTGCAGAAAGCCGCTCTGCTGCATTTAAATGCTAATTTATTTTATTTCGTTTAATTTCAGTTTCTTTGATTGTATTGTGGACACATACATACGTTGGCATATATATCCTTTCAATGTATTCGTTATTTTGGAAAAGTACGAGTTTTTATATTTTAAGTATACTACCATCGATTCCCAAATACAAGAGCAGTGACCGTGCTTTGAATAATTGTTGAACGAAAGTAGATGGAGATTTGTGGTTTCCAGTATCCGATAGCCAAGACTTAAGAGCGTATTTTCGTAAACAGAAAATATTTAGAGCTTTTTTCAAAAATCGGTTTTCAGGGAGATCTATGGAAAATTGTTTCCTAACTAACATAAGTTTCGATCATGCTGAATCTCCTGGCAATATTTATTCTTAAAAAAAGATTTTAAAATCTAGCGAAAACCAAGTTTTTCAAACATTAGTGTTTGCGCCTGTTTTCACCTGTTATTGAAAAACTCACAAATCGACATAACAATTCACTCAAAAAACACCAGAACGGGTTCAGAACTTCAAGATATAGTTATTCCTGTCCGCTAGAGATGATTACAAAATCGAAAAACGTAAAAGATAACGTTTTTGTCCGGAGATTTTCTAAACTATTTTTTGCGGTACTTTGATGCGGAAAACTGCACTTCCGATTTTACACCAGACGTGCGCAGAGGTGCCCACTGTGAAAGGGAAGCATCCTAGTCTATAAAATGCAGAAGAATTATTTAAAGGACGGGTGCGTATAAGCTAAAGAATCAGCCCATTTATGTTTTTTGGTTCCATGAAAAGCGGAAAACTATAAACATTTGCTTTTAGGTACTTTTTAGTGGTTATAGCCGTTTCAATTCACATAAGATCTTCATTTGGAAGCTGACATTACAGAGCACCATTGAAATCATTTTCATGCGCTGTTTTCTGAAAGCATAGGAGCATATAAACAACTGAACGCATAATTAGAAAGCTCTTTCGCTTCTTTACAAACTGGTCTGTTCACAATATTGCAAAAGTATGGGATCTTTCGTCGTTTTGAAACAGTTGCGATGTGTTATAAGTAATAGCACCAGAGTTAACGTTTCATTCAAAATAAACGTAAAAATATGATTTTTGTTTCTCACAGGCATGTTTAGAAACCATCTGATATATTAAAGAGCATGTATTATAAGAATGTGACAGTGTACTATAGATGTAGCAGTGTATAACCACAAGGATTTGACTGAAAGGGAAAAAGTTAAACATACAGTGGATCGAAAAATTTTTATCAAAAAATATTGAATCGTTCCGGAGTAGGGGTGTCACTTTACTGTTTCTTTACTAATGAAAACCGCAGATCTCTACCTCATTTCTGTGAAAAGTTATTCGAAAAATATCCGTAAAAAATATTACTTTCTGGCCTTATATCAAAATAAGGCCAGAAAGTGAAAGAAAGCCTTGACCGTTTACCTGCATAAATTAAAAACTCTCTAAATACTCGGTCATTTCAGCTTCAATATGACTCAAACTTTCAAAAGGTACTCAGAACAGATCAGGAATATAAATCTAGCAATAAAAACTGCCTGAAACTGTACCGCTTCAACAAGGCTCTTCTGGAGGTTTCTGGAAAACCGTCTACAGTCAGTGATTTCTATTCTGTCTTTTCCAATCTAACAATGATTTTTCTGATTTTTCTGAGTACCTTTTGAAAGTTTGAGTCATATTGAAGCTGAAATGACCGAGTATTTAGAGAGTTTTTAATTTATGCAGGTAAACGGTCAAGGCTTTCTTTCACTTTCTGGCCTTATTTTGATTTGCACACGAAAACAAACATTGCCACGATGATCAACATGGTTGATTACCTA